CTGCCACTTTCCCATTGCAATGTTAATGGAAAAAAATAAAAAGCTTTTGAAGGTGAAAGGGATTATTTCTTGATTTTCTGCTGCTAAGAATAATGAAAGTCTTGTTAACAGATAGATGTAATAACAGTTACTCTTAGGGGCCATGGATTGATGTCAGATTGGACAGTTCTGGAGTAAATCATCTACCTCCAATTTGTCCAACAATATTGATACACAAAACTACACTCATACTATACAAGTTTTCTATGTTAAAAGTTGTTTCACTTCTAAATAAGAACAAAAAAAATTGGTGCTCAACTTTCATTGCTGAGAGCGATCATTGAAATTGGCCATGCAAGCATTTTAAATGGCATGCTCTTCAAGCCCATTTTTGCTTATAGAAATGTTGCCCAATTTGTTTTCCCCAAGGTGTAGTATGCTTTAAATTTCATTTTATTGAGTGGGGTAGGATATCTGTCATTTAATAGAATGCACAGAAAATGTTAAAAACAATGAATTTGGACGGGGGGGATCAGTACACAAGAGAACTTGGTGGTTTTCAGAGTGAAGAAACCTTACTCCCTTTACATAGCCTCAAATTCTAATACAAGTCAAGCAGTAGTGATGCTTGATCTCCTCTTGCCTTGTTAAGGGACACAGGTATTGACCAAGGAAAACTCTTTGACCCTGTAGGGGATGAACAGTGTGAGTGTCCATCCTGAATGGGGTCTAGTCAGGAAACTGTCTGGAAGTGTATGGCTGTAGTCACTTCATGAAGATATGCAATAAGTGCATTTCAAGAAAAATTCATGGTTTTCTGGATCATCCAGGTGGCAACTTTGCATAGGTAGATGACAGCTCTGAATTGGAGCTGAACTACCTTCATGTGGGGGTGAGTGGTAGGTTTAAAGAGAAGGGAAGGTTTTCTGCTTGGTGTTTATTTTGACTTTGGTTACTCAAGCTGAACAGTAGTAACCACTGCTTTCAAGGAACCAAACAACTTGGTCGGTTTGGTTCAGAGTTCATTTCATCCCTAGATATGAGTGATTTTTGGTGTAGGAAGTTGGCATGTCTTATAATACCGAATTGTTTTGACTGTGAGGTTCTTAAAATTTTTTGCTTCATAATATTAAAGCAACTCATGTTAGAGACCGTCTTAACACCAAAGATTTGTAGTTGCGACATTATATATCTTTTGCTTCTTATAAATAAAAATGATGTTTATTTTTCTTTAATAAATAACACAATAAATGACAAAAAGCAAGATAAAACAAACTGATATGTTAAATGATCATCACCAGGGAATTTCATGGGAACTATAACTGAGAGGGGAAAGCATACATTGTACAAAAATGAAAAACAATGTAAAAATATATATAAAATTAAAAAAACAAATATTAGTGGCACAATAGTGTTTATTACTGAATAGAAAAAAAATATTAGTTTTATTTGCTTTTCCCCCAGCTTTAACTATAAGGATGCTTTTGTAAGTCGAGTTCATAAGAAAATTCCACAGCATACCAGCCCCCCATATTGTGATGTGACTGTGTAAGGTTAAGGTCCCACTTGCAAGAGAAAATAAATTTCTCTCCTTGGGGATTTTGAACTAGCCCTGCAGGAATTTTAAAAACATGTGCTTTCATTAGGATGCTTCTAACATAGCGGGAAATGCAGCCCTCATCTATCGAAACACAATCTATTCAGGTGTAGGTACTCTTCAGGCTTTGTCTCCACATGACCTCCACACTAGGTCAGGAACTTCTGGTAGCCCAGCCTGCAGCTGGCAGCCCCTCAAACTACACCAAAAGTAGGATTAACAAAATTGAAGAGAAAGCACTTTTGATTTTTCTTCCTAGAAGTTAGATGATTTGGGTAGGAAGGGTAAGGAGATTTTGCATCAAGCTTGCCTTCACACTCAGTCCTGGAGGAAGGGCTGCTAAATCTACCCCCTGCACATCCTGTGTGGAGTGTATTTAGTGTCCTTACCCATCATCACACGAGGAAGTTAAGAGTAAATGATAAGTCGATCTGGACCAAGCCCCTAAAAATGAGGCAAATTCAGTGAACCAAGGCCACTGCCTGTGGCAATGCCAGCTCACCTAGGTCCTTTCCTGAAGAACCACATTAATATGATTCAAGGCACCTCTGGCCAGGACAGAGCATGGAAGAAAAACCTAACTTCTAGGTAGGGCAATGCCACACAGAGTTTAGAGGCTGCAGTTTAGTCTACATCACTAGTATTTATTTTTTTAATTTTATATATATTTTTACATTTTTTTCATTTTTTTTTTTACAATGTATGCTTTCCGCCTCTCAGTTATAGTTCCCATGAAATTCCCACCACCCATTCATCTGTGCACCATCACCATCTTCCCTTGTGCTCTCCCTTCTCCCCTGCAGAATGTCTCTGGCTTATAGTTGCTTGTTGATTTTGATTTTCACTTTATTATAATTACTTTTTTCCCTCTGATCCCTTATTTGGATCCTCTACATTCCTCCTATAAGTGAGACCATCCGTATTTCTCTGAGCATATTTCACTGAGCATGTACATCACTAATATTTAGAGCAGGAAAGAGCCTTGCTCCAGGGAGCATCTTTACTAATGCAGCTTAATGGCAGTCGCCCAGATGTGTCGCTGTGGAGCAGGGGAAGGATCAGTCCTTAGAGAGTGGAGTTGCCTTTGGGATGATCAAATGCCACCAGGTACTGATCCCAATCACGCCTTATCTGGATAAGTGCAAGTAGGGAATGTTGAGCTTGGAGGTAATACTGTCTGAAAGGCTGCAAAGAGGTGAGTGGGAACTCATCAGGATCCCCAAAAACTTGGACTCAATTTCAGGCTTCTGAAGTGAAATGTTCTCTTTTACTTTTCTATTTCTTATTTAATTCTCTTTTCCTCTCTTCCTCTTCTTCTCCTTCCAAAATCACTCTGGGTCCCTTTCCTTGCTACAGCTTCTTTCCTGAGTTTCCCCAATTTTTCCAAGGCCTGAAGAATGTCCACCATTCTTTTGGTATCTGCTTTTTTTTTTTTTTCCTCGCTTCAGATAAGACACCACCAGCAGCAGTTCCTGCTCTGGCTTTTTTCTCCTTCACCTCCTGCATGCACTTGATCCTCCCGCTGTCAATCTGCTCACGGGGCCTTCCCTGCTAGGCCTCGAATTCCCGGGGCCCTCTCAAAGCCACAGATGCTCGCGCCAGCCCCTCCCCAAACTCTGCCTCCCCTTGCCCACATAGGGGTCTGGGGCAGCAGCGTAGTCACTTGATCAGTTAGGCCCCCAGTGGTGAGGCCTGGGCCAGTGGCCCAGGTCGCACAGCCCCCTACCAGGCCCAGAGCCCCGGGGCACCCCGAGCCCAGCCCGCGGGAGCTTCACCCAGGGTGGGCCCGGAGCGCACTGGCGGGTTCAGCGGGCAGTCAGCCAGCCGCAGGATGCCGATCAACGCCCCTGCTGCGCGCCGCTGCAGGGCCGGCCTCCCAGCACTGCGGATAGCAGGGGAGCCTAGGCCCAACGCAGTAGAAGGCCGCAGCTGACCTTAGGATGTTGGTCCCAGGGAAGAGCCGGCACTGGGGCGGCTGCTGGATGCTTCTTTTTTCGGAGTACAGAAGTATTTGTCTCTCAGTTCTCTTCCAAGCTCAGAATTGCTTTTCTCATGCCCACCCTCAAATCTTGCACATTTACGCGCGGAAAATATTGGGGTTCAGGAGGAAACGCAGGACCTAAGAATGAGCTACAGGTATACATGGGTATTAATATGCCTCTCTCGGCCCACTTCTGTTTTCCCTATATTCTTATCCCACCGTGCCTTAGGCTGCTTCAGTGCAAGAAGCGTGGTAGGCCATAAGGATGAGAGGCCCAGAGGAGAGGAACATGAAAAGACTGATATGTCGGCGGTTGAGGCCTGGTAACGCTGTCCAGAGCACCTTTCCAGACGCCTCTCCACGACTTGCCCATCTTATAGGAAATTGAAGGCGTGCAGGGGCTTTTGTCAAAGAGGGGGAACAATTCTGGGAACACATGAGGGTTAACCTCTCTTTTAAGCCTCTCTCACGACCTTCCCGCCCCGGGCTGCTGCCCCCCGGGGCCCCGAGACTGCGGGGAAGTGACTGCAGCCCCAGACACTGGGGTATCCGTCCGCGGAGTCCGGCCGCGCGGATTCACAGACGCGGCCGCCCGAGATCCGCGTACATTTCGTGGGGGGGGTCGGTGGTGGTGGTGGAGGCGAATGGCAGGTTTGGTGGGGGCAACTCCTGGAAAACCCAAACTAATCCCAGAACGTGTAGCTATTAATCTGCTTCTCTACGTCCAACGCTGCTTTTTCTCTAGCCAGGTCCCGCCGCCGGGGGTGGGGGCGGGACGGAAGTCAGCGGCTGAGGCGACATGGCGCTCGAGCCGCGGCACTCGGTATCCCTCCGCTCGCAGAGGCCGGATCCCCTTCAGCGACGCTAGCTCCTCCCCCGGTGCAGTTTGGTACTGGGGACGTGGCCAGCAAGGTCTGCGGAGGAAAAGGTAGATGTTAGTACCCCAGCGGGTCCCTGAGGAGCCCCGGGGACGAGGAAGAGGGGGGGAAACCGAAAAGTGACAGCTGTTTGCAGTTACGGCCCTTAATCTGATAAAGCACGTATCTCGGCCTAAATCCCGGTGCCGGGCCCATCCCTAAACACAGTTGCCGCCATTGTTTCGTGTCCTTGTGTCTGTCTGACTGTCAGTCCCTCTTTCTGTAGGCCACAGCAGCCCTTGAGGCAAGGAAATGAGAAAACTGCCTCTGATCCGAGCAGAGCAGGTCAGTGAGAAGGCGGGCATCGCTTGGGAGTGTGGATGTGAGTGTCAGATATGAACTGGGATACCTGACCTGGTCCTGGGGCGCGGGGCGGTCAGACGGAGAGGGACGGAGGTGATTTGAGTGGCACACACAGCGATAAATTTAAAATGATCTGCCTCTTGTTGGCTTGGTTTCCAGACACTCGCCCCACCTCTGACCATGTTTGGGGAGGGAGAGCACAGTAGCGGCTTCTAGCGGAGAAATGGCTATGACCAAGGAGGGGCTGCTGCTGTGGGAGAGGACAGTTGTCCGGGAAGGGGAGCGTGCAAAAAGAGGTGGTAAATGTTTAATAATAACCAAAGCCCCGGATTAGAAAAGGATTTCAGAGGTGTCTACTAGTTTGACCATTAATAACCAGGTCTCCCCTACTGATTTCATTTGGTCGTTGGATTTGTATCATGCATTTATATGTGAAGGTCTGTTCCTAAATTTGCTGTACTACACGTTTCTATAAAGATCTGTAGGGAGCAGTGGACCTCGAAGGGAGAGAGGAAAATTGTTCTAATATCTATAGTGTGAGCAGTGGTTGGAGGTGGGAGGTGGTTATGACTGGAGCAGATAGGGGCCTAGGGGAAACTCTACATCTCCCTTCTGCCATTTTTCCAAACAGTACTTGCTTACTCTCCTTGTTTTGCAGAAAATGGTAAGACTTTGGGGAAAAGAAAGAACCACAGAAACTTTGAAATTTGGAAATAATACTTCTCATTATTTTCCTAGCCCATTATTTTCCTTTACCGCGTTTCTGACACGTGCACTGTGTTGCAGGGATTTTTGAGTTGTCTCTGCAGGGAAATTATTGGGCTTTAGGACGGGAGCAGAGGAGCTTGGAGATTTGGGGGGAAAGGATGGAAGAAAGGGAAATAGGAAAGGTTTGGCAAACATACCCGGATCCAGAAAGGATCAGTGTGTTTATGCTCATGTCGACCAAGGACTTAGTCTCCATTGTTTCTATTTATTTATTTGCTTGTGAATCTCTGTCCCTAGGTATTTGGAACTCTCAGATTTGAACATTTGTAAATGGTAACCCAGCTTGAAACTTGAAAAGTGTCCTTTATTTGGATTGGTGTGAGAGTAGAGGGACAAGGGATGAATGAGACTAGACAATTCTATTTCTTCTGTTTCGCCACCTTAATAACACCTACCTTGTGTCCTGCTGCTTTAGTTGGAAGTCTTGGTAAACTGTGGGGAGGGGGGAGGATATAGAAAGCTAACACCTGCTTTTCTCACTTCCCACTTACTGTTCTTGTACTTTTGACTTACCCTTGCCCAATCCTGAACTAGGAAATGCCAAAGATGTCATTGAAGAGGAAAATGGTGGGAAGCAGGGAGGGAGGGGTGCATCCTTGAAAAGTGCATGCCTTGAAGCAGGGCAATGGTGGGAGGGGACCAGTAGGACAGAAACACTAGACAGATGGCAAATATAGGAACCAGGAGCCAAGGTCTGTTTCTAGAGGTCAGTTTCTATATACTTCTCTTTGTCTATTTGTCCATAGATCTGCCTATAGGTCTGGTGTAAGGCTTGCCATCATCGGAAGCAAGAAAGGAGAAGAAAAGTACAGATCAATGCAGGTTGGTATCAGTATGGACACCCACAGGATGAGGTGTGGAGATCTGCTTGTGTCTAACAGGAGTGAACAGCCAGTCTAGGGATTCCTTAGTCTCACTCTCATTTAGCTTTCCCACTCACCATACTCCTGTTTTGTGTGTGTGGCGGGGGGAAAGATTATTAGCATCCACAGTTGTGGGGAATGGGTGAAATGAGGGGAGAGAGAATTTGCTAATTATCTACCTTTCCCACTTAACACTGAATTTCCCTGTCTCTGATAATCAACATGAGAAAAAGATTGGAAGAGACTCAATGCCCCCTTTCCTTCCTCCACCTCTAGGTCCAACTTCAGTGGCAAATCTGGTGATTTTGGAGTGACAGAAGACTACCACCCTCCACGGGTTGCTCTCAGGCACACAACTCCCTTCCCTGAAGGAGCTTCCTCTTTCTCATTGGCAGAGCCTGTAATTGGAAGGGTCCTAAGTGACTACTGGACTTGTATGCAAACACCAACCTATAATAGACGTTTGGTCAAGGCAAGACCAGGGTGGGGTATATAACTTGGCCTTGCCTTTAACTTGAATCATAACTGGCTCTGAGGCTAAGGCAAGGGCAGAGGAGAGGCTAAGACTGACCTGGAAACTAGAATCAGTGGTCCCGGCAACCCTAGCGTCAAGGCTAAGATCCAGGTCAAGGCAGTGACTGAGCCAGAACTGCAAACAAGACAAGTGACCCAGGCCAAGTCTGGAGATGGAGCAGTTGCCAGGACCCAGACAGTGACCTGAGGCCATGGCTAAGATAAAGGAAGTAATCAACATGAAAGCTGTGATTAAGTCTAGAGTCACGGCTGAGACTAAGGCAAAACCCCCGGTAGAACCCAACACAGGCCAAACCGAGTCAGAGGCCGTGCCTATGCCCATGGTCAGTGTTGTGACCAAGTATGAAGTCCAGACTGGTGCTGCAAGTGAAGTAAATATCAGGTCCTTTGCCAAGGCTGATGAAAAGGCCAATATTGTATCTAAGCCCAGGAGAAGGGGAGAGGTCAGCATCAGTTTCAGGGCTGGGGACAAAGCTGGTGTTCTAATAGAGTCCAGTGATACAGATGAAGAAAATGTCTGCTCCTGGTTCTGGACTGGGGAAGAGCCTAGTGTAGGATCCTGGTTCTGGCCTGAAGAAGAGACTCCTACTCTAGCTTATACCCCCCCACCTAAGGTCCAGGAAAAGCCCAAGCCTACACCTGAACCTGAACTTACTATAAAGCAAAAAGCAGCTGCATGGTCAAGGATCAGATTTAGTGTCTTAGTTCCATTAGGGGAAGGGGAGCCACCCTTACCTGCAGAAGGAAATTGGACTCTAGTTGAGACCTTGATTGAAACACCTTTGGGGATTCGGCCTCTGACTAAGATCCCGCCCTATAAAGGGCCATACTTCCAGACCTTAGCTGAGATCAAAAGTCAGGTTAGGTATAGGGAAAAGTATAGGCCCAATCCAAGAACCTGCCGCTGCAAATCACGTGACTTTAGTTTAGAGCCTAAAGAATTCGATAAACTTGTTGCCCTACTTAAGTTAACTAAGGATCCTTTCATTCATGAAATAGCCAGGATGATAATGGGCATAAGTCCTGCTTATCCATTTACCCAAGATATAATTCATGATGTTGGTGTGACTGTTATGATTGAAAACTTGGTCAATAATCCCAATGTTAAAGAACACCCTAGTGCTTTAAATATAGTGGATGCCAACTCTGAGTCTTCTGAAGAATCAAAAACAGGAGAGTCACACACACATCAAGTTTGTAAGGACATATTCTCTTATCCATTGAACTCCCCTATGCAACTGGATGCACTAAAGTTATTATTGCAACCGAGTGTGAAAGTTGAGGATCACCATGTGATTGCCAATTACATTCCAGATTTCCTTACCTTGTTAAACAAGGGAAGTGTCAAAACCAAGTTTTCTGTTTTAAAAGTGTTTTCGCGCTTGTCTAAAAATCAAGCCAATACAAGAGAACTGATCAGTGCCAAAGTACTGTCATCACTGGTTGCACTCTTTAACAAGAATGAGTCAAAGGCCAACATTCTTAATGTTATTGAAATATTTGAGAATATAAACTTCCAATTCAAAAAGAAGGGGAAGCTATTTACCAAGGAACAGTTCACTAAATCTGAACTTATTTCCATATTCCAGGAAGCAAAAGAGTTTCGGCAGAAACTCCGAGACTTAGCAGAGCACAGTGATCCTGAGGTGAGAGATAAAGTTATACGATTAATACTCAAACTCTGAATAGTCGTATGTTTCTCCCAAAGCCTTGAAAGATGTTTTGGTGTTGCAATATAAAACCAATGCATATTACAATTATAAATTCAATACTTGTGTTAACTGTGTTGAGTGGAGGCAATTTTATGGATGTTAAATGATCCTGAGAGCTTGAATGTTGTTGATTTTTATTGTGCTGTATAAATTGATATATTTTTAGTATTTCTGCAACATGATCTGATAATGAACCTATTCATCCTAAGTAAGCTATACTCCCATGCTTCATAGTGACATGAATGTATTCATTCGCGACTTCATCTACATGTTAATAAAGTTAAGTGCTAAAACTGGTGAAAAAATTGTTTTAGTTCTTCACTTTTAAAGTCTTTTAAAGTGACTTTTAAAGTCTAGTTGGAGGGATAAAGCACAAACAACACAAAGATGATAAAGAACATTGTATGTCGGGGGTTACAAACTAAAGTTCACATCGACAGAGCCTTTAGTTTCCACGTATTTGAGGAATAGAATCACTCTGCACAAGAAGACAGAGTTATTAGCTGACTTAGGTCCTAGCTGATAGGACTTTAAGTGAGGAATGAAGCACCTGGTGAGCAGTTTTGGGGAAGGGGTGAAGACAAAAGTAGAAGGAAGGGAACACAGAAGTTTTCATTTCAGTTTAAATCCCAGAATTTAGGCAGAGCCATTCATATAGGCTGTCTCATCTTTTTCACGATTGTTTTTGTTAATCTGAGTCCCTTTTCCATTCCATGTGAATTTTAGGGTCACTTCTCCCGTTATGCAAAAATTGGGGATTTTGAGAGAGATTGCATTGAAAATGTAGATTGCTTTGGGGGTATTGTCAACTCAATAATAGTAAGTCTTCTAATCCAGTATATCTACAGGATGCATATCCACTTATGTAAGTCTTTAATTTCTTTTAGCAATGTTTTTTAGTTTGTATATAAGTCTTTTCTTCCTTGGTTAAGTTTATTCCTGAATGTTTTATTATTTTCTATACTAGTGTAAGTGGAATCGCTTTCCTTAGTTGCTTTTCAGATTGTTCATGCTGGTATACAAAAACATAACTGATTTTTACATTTGATCTTATAACCTGCAACTTTGCTGAACTTTAAAAATTAATTCTGACAAAAAAAATTAATTCTAGTGGTTTTTCTTTGTGGAGCCTATATATGATCATATCATATAAAAATAGAACTATTTTCTTTCTTTATTACTTGGATATCTTTTATTTCTTTTTCCAGTCTAATTGCTCTGGTTAGAATTTTCAGAACATTCTTTAATGAAAATGGGCTTACTTGCCTTGTTCCTAATCTTAGGGTATAGGGTGAAAGCTTTCAGTCTTTTTCACTATTAGTTTTGTTAGCTGTGAGTTGTTTTCGTGGTTTTTTCAGGCCCTTTATCATGTTAAGGAAGTTCCCTTCTATACCTAAATTTATGAATGTTTTTATCATGAAAGAGTATCAGATTTCATCAAATGCTTTTATTTATTTTTTTTTTTTTTTGCATCAAATGAGGTGATCTTGTGGGCTTTTTTCCTATAAAAGTGATGTATTACATTATTCTATTAAAGTGGTATATTACATTAATTGACTTTTTTATGTTGACTTCCCTTGCATTCCTGGGATAAATACCACTTGATAGTGGTGTATAATCATATTATATACTATCGGATTTGGTGTGCTAGGATTTTGGGAACTTTCTGCACCTGTTTTTCATGGGGGATTTTGGTTCAGATATCAACATCAATGATATCACACTTACATACTCAACAAGACAGTATAAAAAGCTTTATTACTTGCATAAATAAAGCTTTCTGGGTAGGGCAGGGTGGCTCCCAGACAGTTCCAAAAATGGCTTGAGCGAGTAGGACGAGATGTCTTTGGGATTTTATACTGGCTAGAAGATGTTTACAAAGCGAAGTTCTTTACATGTGGTTTGAAGTTCCCACCATTGCTAAGGAAGGAGCACCCCGGTTTTTTGATCAACTTGCCCAAATGTGGAGCAGAGGGCCAAGATATCAACTTTTTGATATATGAGGCAGAGGAGGAGGGGTGAGACTTAAAAACTAATAGTAGTCAAAGATTAAAAAATGGAGTCAGCCTATTTATTTTCGGGACTATAAAATATCTGCCTCATTTACCAGTCATAGCTAGAAGCATATACAGAAAGGTTGCCATTGTGACTGATACAACACAAATTTGATTGATCAAATTTCTCTGAAATATATAGGTTTGTTCTTGCATCTGTGTCCCAAAAGTTGAATCTACCACTATCTCCTAGAGCTGCAAGGATTCAATAAAACAAAGCATGAACATCATAAGTAACTTAAGTGTTGACTCCAATATATCAATAACAGGATTTGACGATTAATATAGTAAATAACAAATTTTTTCCTTCTGGGCTTCTCAGTGAAAAAACATTAGTTTTACTTAATTTGACTTTTTTAACTCCCCAGAGAAAGCCTGCTCTTTTGCACAGACAGCTTTTGATGAAGTCATTGCTGAACTTGATGTATTAAGTGAAGAGTCATACAAAGACAGCATGCTAATAGTGCAATTACTTGAGAGACAACTTGACATTATGGACATTGAATACCCAAGGAGACAAAGCTGAAGCAAGAAGAGGGGAAAATTAACAGGCCTTCCCATTTTTGTCTCATTCTAAAATTTCCAAAGTAGACCATTTGTCATCCATGTTGTCCCACAAATAGTTTTTTTTTTTTTTTTACGATTTATGACAGGTTTATGTTACTTCTACTTGAATTTCTCTATTTCCCATGTATGTTTTATATTTCGTATTAGGGAAGTAGAGTCAATTAACAGTCAGGGAGTTGTCTGTTTTCATCTTGAGGTGGCCAATATGGGGGTATGGAATTTTTGTACAGTTTATAATGTTTGGCATAGTACTTCTAGTCCATTATGGCTTCACAAAGGCCAGTGTTTAAACTGCTCTCATGTCTAAGCAAAGTAAACTGCCTGTATATTGGTTTGTCCTGGTGGGGGATAAAAGGGATAATTGGCTCCCATCAGTGGGGTAGTTACTGTAGGTACTTTAAGATTGGGAGCACTTAGAAGGCTGTAGTAGACATAGCTATCCCATGGATATTATATGTTAGAACATGTGTATCTGTGGATTACTTAATGTTCACAACTTTGGTTATAGCTGAAGAAGTCTTCCTCCATATTATTTTGTCTTGATAGGGCATTTATTTTTATCACTGAATAACATCCCACTATCTTTATGTACCACCATTTGCTTAACCGTTTAACTATTGAAGTTAAGTTAGTTGCTTCCAAATTTTGGTAATTATGAATATAACTGCTTTAAACTTTCACATGCAGGTGTTTGTGTAGACATGTTTTCAACACATTTAGATAAATGTGAGCACAGTTGCTGGATCCTATGGTTAAGAGTATGTTTTCCTTTGTCAGAAAGTGCAAACCATTTTCTATAGTTACTGTGGCATTATGCATTCCTCCCAGAATGAGAGCTCTTGTTGCTCCATATTCTCATCAACATTTGGTGCTGTCAGTCTTTTAGATTTTAACCATCCTAATAGGTGTGCAGTAGGATCTCATTGTTTTAACATGTAATTGCCTAATGGCATATGATAGTGAATATTCATATGCTTTTTTTTTCCCTCTCTGTGTATCTTTAGTAAGGAGTCTAATCAGGTTTCTTACACATTTTTGAATTGGTTGGTTTATTTTCTTACTGTGTAATTTTAAGGATTCTTTGTATATTTTGGATATTTGACAAGGGAGCCAAGAAAACTCAATGCGAGACGAATTGTTGCTCCAGTAAATGGTGCTGAGTTAATGGGATATTCACTTGCAAAAGAATGGTATTGGATTTCTATCTTTCACCACCCACAAAAGTTACCTCAAAATGGATTAAAGACATATACTTAATACCTGAAACTATAAAACTCCTAGAAGAAAACATAGGAAAAAGTCTCTGATATTTTGCATGTAACACCAATGGCAAAAGAAAAAAATAAAAAGTGAGACTAAATAAAACTTTCTGCACAGCAAAGAAATGATCAAGAAAATGAAAATTCAGCTTACGTAATGAGAGAAATATTTGTAAATTGCATATCTGATAGTGGGTTAATACCCAAAATATATAAGAAACTCATAAACTCAGTAACAAGCAATCCAATTAAAACATGGCAGAGAAACTGAACAGATATTTTTCTAAAGAAGACACACTTTTGGCCAATAGGTACATTGTTTTCACATGATTTTTCCAGGTATTATTGCCTCACTGAGCTTTGCTATTAAGTATTCTATCCTTCTGACTGCTTTCTCTGATTTTCCCAACCACTGGCCCTATCCATAGAACTCATATCAGAACTGAGTACTACTATCTTAAACCCAAATGCCATGATGGAGAGGAGGATGTTTTCCTCTCCAGGTTTCACTCTCCTTTTTATTTTTCATATACCACAATGTGAATTTATTGGAGGAAATTCACATCACAACAATATAGACATCCAATTCAATTGACAGGTACTTTTCACTCTGATTAGTGAAATATGCACACCAGTGTGGTACAGAGTTTTTTTGCAAATAGTTCTTTCTGGGATAACTTATGAACCTCTGTTGTGACATACACTTGAGGCCATTTGTTATAATAGGCAAAAATAGGCGCCTAATCCCAGTGCTGGCATTAAATTAGCTATAATCCCCTAGTGACTGGGCATTGTTCCTGGGCTGAGGTCATTGTGCCTGGCTCTGTTTTCCCTCAGGATGAACGCTTTTAAAGCAGAATTCACCTCAAATGTGAGCTGAAAGTATTCTTGGCTCAGGACTCCCCACAAGTTCTCCAGAAGTGCCTTGATACAAGTTGTAGAAACAAGTTGAGATCTTTCCCAGAGTCTCTTTAACCTCTACTGAAAACCAACATCTGTTGAACCAATTTCACCAGTTAGTTCACAAGAACCCAAACCAGCCTGCTCGCTCCTGACTGCAAGGGACTTGAGTTCCTGTGTTAAGCTGAAATTCAGGAATAGGAGAGTGGGTATATTCTAAGAAAGTGCACGGTTTAGCTGTATCTTAGACAAAAGGGAGATCCCAAAAGGAAGGTTTGCTTGAGGCACATGAAGGATAGAAGAAAGGCAAGTTAAGCTTAATGGGTAAAAACAGGTCCATGACCATGGCGATGGAGAGGGAAGAGAGATCAGTGGAGCTAAACAGTAGAAATAAAATAAATTTTCTCTAAAATGGTGCTTATCTTCAATGGTGCTTTCTATTATACTAATTATTTTTCACTAAGAATTTACAGTCATACCAGTGCAAGGCAGGGGATATGGTTGTGTGAAAGTTCACGTGCATTTCTGTGGGAGGTGGGCTGGGCTAGGGAAAGAGTTATAGATGTGATGAATCAGCACAGTCACCTTTGTGTCCTGGGTGCAATGCTTGGGTGATTATTTGGTTCTGATATTGTTCCTTCAGTCTTGAATCCATTGATGGTAGTGACCTCGCTGAGGAATGCCTGTGGCACTAGACTAGTCCTGTGGGCTCACGTCACTCTTAAGGCACTCCACAGACATTACCTACATAGGGATTCCTATTTATGGATAGGCCAGCTTTTGTAGTTATTACATGCAGAGGACTCACTTGAGCAAGAAACTATCAGAGAATATTGAGGAGCAAGATGTATTATTTACAGGATCTGGAGGGTAAATAGAACAATGGAGGGTCACCTGGCAAGGTCTCCAGAGGAAGGAAGGGAGGATGGAAGAGGGAGACATGGACAGACAGAGATGGAAGGACCTGGCACCCCTCCTTTATTAGGGACTGAGGGCAGGGAACCTCAGGCCTCTTAAGTTCACTAATTTAAAGATCAAGGACCAGGGCCTCCCCGGTGGTGCAGTGGTTGAGCGCTGGGTTGCAAAGCTGCCCGCAGCCTCTGCAGCGCTGGTTCGATTCCTGGCTGCTCCCCAGCCACCAGAGGAGGGTCCCACATGGCGCGCAGACCTCTCCTGCCGCCCGCTGCTCCCCTCAGCAGTGTACTTCGGTCCTTCTGCCTGCTCTGTTCCCCGCTCTGGCTCTGGTGAATTCTCTCACCCTCCCGCGCTTCTGACTGTACCCAGTGCTTGTATAAATAAATAAATAATCTTTATAAATAAATAAAAGAGGATTTTGCTGTGGGCGCAACCTAGTTCCTTATCTGGTTGTTTTGCTAGTTATATAGCTGACAGTATGTTTATTCAAGATGAATGTCTGTTGAAATAGATACTTTGGCAATCAAAAGCTTAATATCAGGCACTAACACAATCAAAAGGCATAATGTTAGGCAGTTATTTAGGTTTGTGTGTTAGGATTGCACAAGTGCTAGTGGAGACATTGAGGAGTGGAACCACATCTGTTGCAATTAGACTGGTATCTGATTTTAGGAAGAAACAAATGGAAAATTGCTTAGTAGTCTCACATCCTTGGTCAACAGTTCTGTTCCAATCTCGTATTTGCACTATAGTTTTAAAGATGACACAAACTATCTGATATGGAAACATAAAGGGCTAACACATAAAAAGTTTAAAATAGAACTTTCACAGTTAAATATTAATAAATAGTATTAATAAATATTAATCAACAATAGTGCCTACTATGTAGATGATTTAAGAACAAATTGTACAACACATATTGCAAAGACTGTAAAATCTGTCAGCTTTGGGTAAATTCACTCCCCTGTCAGTAAATAACTTGGAGTCAATATCCCAGCACCTTGAGAATTATCAGAGAGGGCCTCCCTGGTGGCGCAAGGGGTTAAATCTCAGCACAATGAAGCTCTCAACAGCCACTGCAGCATGAGTTCAATCCCTGGCCAGGGAGCTAACCCACATGGTGCAGCCGACCTCTCCGGTCTGGTCTTGCCCACTGCTCCCCTCAGCAGTGTATTTCAGTAGATCCACCTGTTCTGTTCCCCACTCTGTCTCTGGTGAATCCTCTCACCCCCCACACCTCTGGCCTGTACCCCAGTTCTTGTATGCAAAAATAAATAAATCCTTAAAAAAAGAATTATCAGAGAAGCTTGCACTGGTATGACCACAAATTTTTAGTGAAAAATAATTAGTATAATAGAAAGCACAAGTGAAGATAAGCACCATTTTAACGGAAATTTATTTTATTTCTACTGATAGCCAGGCCCAGGAGAAAAAGTAGTAACCCATTGTATTCTTTGGATAACTCAAAGAAGTTGAGAGAAGGCACAGAGATTCACACACATCCACAGGTCCCAGGAAAACTCAGGCTTCTTGCAAGCCTGGCATTCTTGCAAGAAAATACTGTGAAATCAAAGGAAAAAAGCAAATCCACATTTCAGCTAAGGCCATTTTAACAGCACGGTAAAAGTGACCTCCCTCTGAAAATTGACCCCCACTGGCTTCAGAACTGTTTAGTGTCCAGAGGTTTTCCCATCACCACCTTTAGTACAGTGATAGTGAAAAATCTAATGGCAAAAAAGCCAATAAAAATTCATAAGAACAAGGTTCCCTTTTCACTTTGGAAATCAGTGATTTTCAACAAATGGGGACATTCCTCAAGACACAACTCAAAGACCATTGCAGATATCTCTTTAGAACACAGAAGAGGACTACTGGGGAGGGTAGCTATAGTGGTGAGAGATTAGACCCCCAAATGGATCCTCCCAGGGACTAAAACTCAGTTAAGGAAAGTCAAAGGGAATGCACTTGAACAGGATGTGAGTGGAGTCACTTCCTACTGCTGCTGTAACAAATTACCAGAGACTTGGTGGCTTTAAACAACAAAGATCTACTCTCCTACAGGCCTGGAGGTGGGAATCAGGAAAAGGGTCTCACTGGTGTACTATCAAGGTGATGGTAGGGTTTCAGTCCCCTGAGGTTCCAGGGAGAATCCCTCCAGCTTCCAGGTCTCTGCCTGCATGCATTGGCCCCTGGCTTCCTTTCATCTTCAAAACCCACACTGGACCGACAAGACTTTCTCATGCCACTTCACTGAGTCTGACACTTCTGTCCACTCTTCACGTCGAAAGGACCCTCGTGAGTGCATGGGCCAGGAGAATCCAGTGTAGTTATATTCTAAATACAGTTGATTAGCAATTTTAGTTCTATCTGCAGCCTTAATGCTCCTTGGCCAGGTGGCATCACATGTACAGGAGGGGCTCTGGAGAACAACAAAGATCTATTCTGTGTGGACACCTTTGGGGGGCCTTTCTCCTGCCCTCTACAGTGAGGGTGGAATTTCATTGGGGTTTGAAATGGGTAGCAGGGCAAGCGGGCTCTATTGGACCGCAATTGGCCTTAAGACAGTTGCTCTGTTGGCCCCATGGAGTGCACAGAAAGGAGGGCCTCAAGGCTAGAGGAAGGATGTGGGGGTGAAGGAACCAGAGGACACAGACCCACCGGGTTTCTGTTTGGGGAAGTGGAGGCATGATGGGACTTTCTCCAGGGAATGAGTGGGAGAACTAGACAGGGGTGGCAAGTGGCTGTGAGTCAAGCCAGTTCTAGCGCCGCCACCATCCCACATTGTCAGAAATCCTGAGAGCTTGAGTGTGAGGGCAGGGGACAGAGTAAGTGAAGAGGAGGCAGGAGCAGCCCTCCCTGATTGCTGCCTGGGACTTGGCTTTGGGGTGACAGAGGGAGGACTGTATGATCTGGTGCCGGTTCTGAGGGAAAGGCCCTGTTTCTGGGCCCCTGCGGGGACCAGGCAATGGCAAAGCTTGCCACCCTTCAGAAAAGGCAAAAACAGTGTGGCCGCTACAGTGGCTCTTGGCACAGAGCAGAGGTCGGTTTCCTGGGCTTGGGGTCTAGGTTGGCCTTCCTTTGGAAGAGGGGGAGTGGTGAGGCCTTCAGGGGAGACCTGGCCACCTTCATCCCCTGGGTGGCCCCAGGAAGCCATGCAAGAATTGGGAGGGGCAGCCCAGAAGCTCAGGGGTATGTGGCCTTCAGTGGGCCCTCCCCTGCAGCCTGGGCCCTGTGTCCTGAGGGCCCCTCCCCCATGAGCATCCAGAAACGCAGGGGAAAGGGGTGCCCAGGGAGCCAAGGGAGGTGGGCAGACCGAGGGCAGTGAGCAGTCTGGGGGCTCAGGGCCACACTGAGGGGCTCCCTGGTATCCATCCGCTGCTCTTCCCCCCACCCCGCAGCCGCTCCCCGTCCCGACGCGGGTCCCACCGGGCTGGGGCGCCCTGGCTGGCAGCGCCAGCAGAGTAAGGGTGAGGGGCGGGCCGGGGTCGCCGCGGGGCGCGGGGCGCGGGCGCGTGTCCCCGCCCCTCGGGAGGGGCCAGGTGGGTGTGGGAGGGGGCGTCGAGCCGTGGGCGCCCGGCGTATCCCTCCGCCCCCCTTCCCGACACCCTCGCCGCGCGGTTGCTGCGGCAGCCTGCGCAGCCCCTGCCCAGTGCGCGGCCGCGGCGCGGAGGGGGCGCCTGTGCCAGTGCGAGCGCGGCGAGCGGCGCGGCGGCAGCGAGGCGCGGGCGGAGAGGGGGACCGACGGCCCGGGCGCCGAGCGGCCCAGGCGAGTGGGGCGTCGCGGGGGTGGCGGGCGGCCCCGCCGTGGGCCGTCTGAGCGGCGCGTGGCGCTTTGGCAGACGGACCCGGAGGCGGCGGTGGGAAGCGGTGCCCGCGGGAGGTGCGCGGCGCCGGGGTCCCCTGGCGAGGAGGCGGCGGCGGCCGGCGCGGGTCTGGCTCGGGCCCCGAGGCTCCCTGGGGTGCCCGGCGCCGAGCCACGTGCGCCGTTGCGCAGCCCGCTGTCCAGGCCCGGGCGCCCGCCCTCGACGGCATTGGTGAGGGACGCAGTCCGGTTGGGGGGAGGCGGGGTGGCTGCTGCGGAAGAAATGGCCGAGGGGAGCGGGGGCCGGGTCAGGCCGCTCCCGGAAGCAGCTGAATCGAGGGCCAAGCTGGGGTCCAATTCTGGGCATGGGCCTGTGGGGCCGGCTGCACTGAGTCCCTTCCTAAAGGCGCCCCCTTGATGCCAGAATCTCTCGTCTAGATTGTTGGGTGGAGCATTGTGACTGGCTGCAGGAACTTCTGTAACTGGAGAGGCTTGAGGAAGAGAAGGAGTAAGAAAGTGGCCTGAATATCTGGAGGTGTGGGGATGCGCGGCATGGGTGGAAGCCATCACTGCCTGGAGACCTGAATTAGGACCGGGTGATTGCTGGCAGAGCATCTCAGGTGAAGCCCCAACATTTCTTCTTATTTTTTTAAAGATTTATTTATTTATGCATACAAGAGCTGGGGTACAGGCCAGAGGTGCGGGGTGTGTGTGTGAGAGGATCCACCAGAGACAGAGTGGGGAACAGGACAGGCAGACCGACCGAAATACACTGCTGAGGGGAACAGCAGGCGAGGCAGGAGAGGTCTGCCTCGCCATGTGGGTTGCTTCCTGGCCAGCTGGGGATCAAACTCATGCTTCAGAGGCTGGGGATTGCTTCATAGTGCAGTGCTTAATCCCTTGCGCCACCAGGGAGGCCCCCCCAAACATTTCTTTTCCGACTTTCTACACTTCTTTCTCCTTTCTCATCTCCATCTATATTGAAGGCATGAAAAAATGGGTTTTGGTGGTGGAGTTGACAAGGGAGTCATAATTACAAATAGCACATAATCTGTTTTCTAGAGTATGTTGGGTACCTGCCCCAGTTAATGTTGTGTAGGGCAAGGGGATGTGAACATCTAGTAGTGAAGCCTCATATTTAGAGAAAGGAATGGGAAGTGTGTGCTGTAAAGTGCAGTTAATATCCTGAATATTGACACGGGGGTGGGGGGGTGTCTAAATTTAATATCCATATTCTACCAACAGATTCCTAAATGTTAAAGAGATAACATTCTCTTTTCTGTTTTGGTTTTATTTTTACATTTTCAAAGGACAGGTTTATTAGGAAAAGGAGAAAGAAAAAGAGAGGCACCTCTATGGGCACAGGCAGGCCGCAGACCTGTCTGTACTCCCATCCTTGCTGTCATCTGCTCATCAAGCTCTCAGTTGGCACCATTATTTCCTGGCTGTCTTACCTTTTCATCTCTTTGTCCATAGGCCTGCTTTAAGACTCCTCACTTCTGCAAGGAAGGAAAGGAAGAGAAGACTGGCTCAGCTCTCTGGAGGTTGGAGTGAAGAGGGGCAGTGCAGGGGGCAGCTGCAGGGTAAGAGCATGCCTGGTGTCTTTGATCCAGGTGGGTCAGGGCCTCCCCCACTTCTCCCAGCCCTGCCAGCTGTGCACGCTGCCTCCGCAGCCCATGTGCGTTTTCTCCAGGCGCTATTAGGAATATTGGGGTAGGTGTTGTTTGAGCTTGCTATGAGTGTGAGGAGGCAGTGTGTGAGCAGGGACTGGGAGGCAGGAAATGCTAGACACGTTGGACCCATAAATGGTAAGAGGTGATATTTGTGTCAGGAATCTGGATACCTGCTTTGCTATCTACTAGTAGTCAGATTTCATTTCCTCCCGTGTGTTTACTTGTCCCTAGGACGGGCTGCCCTCTGCTGTGTGCTTACTACCACCGGAACAAAGAAAGGAGGGGGAAATTGCACCCCATCAGTGCAGGTTGGTATGAGCGTGGGTAGACTTTTGGGTGTGGTAATGGAGGCAAACCCAGGTCCGAGGGTGATTAGGATCTAGTCTGGGGGCTTCTCAACCTCTGCCGTCATCTGCACACTTTCCCACCATCCCCACCCCTGTTTTGTAGCTGGCTAGGCAGTGGGGCAGCTCTGAGGTTGCAAGGTGTGGACAAAATGAGGGTGACATACACACTTGCTAATAATGCCACTATTTCACCCAACATTCAAGTCCAGGCCCTGTGTGGGTTCCTGCAAGGGACCACCCGGAAGAGACTCAGAGCCCCATGTCGTTTTCTCCCTAGAGCCACTTCCAGCTGCAGCTCAGTTGATGTTGGACTTGCTGCTGACCCGCCCTCAACAGGTCTGCACCCATTCTGGAACCATCCATCCTCTCTGAGATTGCTTGTGCCTCATCTTCTCTCTGTATTGTTGGCTGAGTTTGGGCTTGAACAGGTGACTGACTGGCTGCTGAAGTGGTGATTGACTCAATTTCTTATTTCCAACTTGAATAATTGAGCAATCCGAAAGTGAAGAACAAAACTGTGATACATCTGTGGTAGAGACTGAGACTGGTATAGGGGTATCCTCTGTAATTTGAACCATGACTGGGGCGGAGATTGAGCCTGGTGCCCTGGCCAAGATTGAAAAGAAGGCTGGAGAAGAGGCAGGAGGTGGGGCTGAGAGAGAGAATGAGGCCCCAATGGTGGTCAGACCCAAGGTTCGGACCCAAGCCCATATGCCTGATGTAAGGCCCAAAACTGAATCTAAGACTATGTCTGGGGCAAGGCCTAAAATTGCGTCCAAGGCTATGTCTGGAGCAAGGCCCAAGACTGAATTCAGAGCAATAGGTAGGAGATGGCCCAAAATTGAGGCCATGGTAGTAGGTGGGGCACATCCTGAGACCAAGAATGAAACCCACTCATGGCCCCAAAATGTGTATGATGCTGAAGCAGTGTTGAAAACAGAAAGAGTATCTCAAATCAGTACCACAGCCTGGCCACTGGTCAGTACTGAGACTGGGTCTGATGTCAAAGCTAATACGTTGTTTGTGGATAGGGACTTGGTCAGTGTGGATGCTGTTTCCTTTCCTGGCACCAAGGTCAAGTCCCAATCAGGAATCCAGCCTTTACTGAACTCAGAGGAAGAGGCCAGTACAGGATCCTGGTGGTGTCACAGGCCTACGTCCCAACAAGAGCCCTCGCACAATTGTGGTTTTAGGTGGGCAGATGGACCCTCTCTGAGTTCCTGGTTTTGGGGTGGAGAAGAGGGCAGTGCAAGATTTTGTCCTAGCAGCGGGATAAATGTCAGTATGAGGTCCAGGCACATGGACAAAAAAGGAGCCATGTCTAGGCCCAAAACCAATTGGGAGCTCAATATTGGGTCTAGTTCTAGTTCTGAGGACGAATCTGTTAAGACATCCTGCTTCTGGGCTGGAGAAAAAACCAGTATCTGGTCTAGACCCAGAGAAGAGCCCAATAATAGGTTCAGGTTTACATTCAAGAAAGAAGTTTCTGAGTCCAGTTCTATGTCTGAATGTGAGGACAATGTGAAGCTCTGGTTCTGGGCTGAAGAGGAGGCCAAATCCAGGCCTAAACCCAGAGCCAGGAAAGGGGCCAGTGTCAGGGCCAGAGAGAGGGCTGAGAGAGAAGCTTCCACTGATTTCATGTCTGGGTCCAAAGGTATAGTCAACAAAAAATCCTGGCTCTGGCCTGTAGAAAAGGATAATACCTTGTCAAGGCGCAAGTGCAAAAAAGAGGCTAGGGACAGAGAAATTGCAAAGGAAGAGGCCAAAATCGAGGCAAGAGCCAAGGCTAAGCGAGAAGCCAGGTCTGTGGAAGAATTTTCCACTGGGACCTGGTTCAGGGCTGCAGAAGAGTCTAGCATACTGGGTGGGGACAGTGTCAAGTCCAGCCCACAAGTGGAGAATGAGTCCATTGTTGGCAGTTGGTTCTGGAATGAAGAAGAGGCCAGCATGGGGACTAAGGACATCAGTAACTCTAAACCAAAGACTGAGGAGGAGCCTATTGGGAATTCCATGCTAGGGACAGAGAAAGAGACCAGTATGGAAACTGGGGCTGAGGCTACCTCTGATTGTGTGCTAGCAGCTAATGAAGAAAAGGTCATTGTTGGTTCCTGCTTTTGGACTGCTGAGGAAACCAACCCAGAGCCTGAGGAAGAGCCCATTTTTGGGTCTTGGTTTTGGGTCAGTGATGAAGCCAGTGAGGAAGCTGGTGTTGGGGACAGCTGCAAATCCAGACCAAGGTTGAAGGAAGAAGGCATTGCTGTTCCCTTGTTTTGGACTGGAAAGGAAGTCGGTACAGAGGCTGAGGCTGGAGAAGAGGCCACACCAGTAGATGAAGAGACAATACTTGGATCCTGGTTTTGGCCTGGAAACCAGGCCCAGATGGATTCTGGGAGTGAAGTAAACTGTGATACTATTCCAGGGACTGAGGAGGAAGAGCCCATTATTGGGCCGTGGTTCTGGGCAGGGCTAGAAGCTTGTGTGGGAACTGGAGTCAACAGCAAGTCTAACATGGAGGAGAAGGAAGAGGTTATTATATCACCTCGGTATGGGACCACAGAAGAGGTCAGCATGAAGTATGAGACTAGTGCCAGGTACAAATTTATGGCAGAGGCAGAAGAGACCAGTGACTCTTGCTTATGGGCAGCAGATCACTCTGCATATCCTGCCAGTGGTGGCATCTGGAAGGCTAGGCCAGAGGAGAAACAGGACACTGCTGATTCCTGGTTTTGGTCCAGAAAATACGCAAGGCCAGAGACCATGATAGGGCCCTGCTTATGGGCTGTGGAAGAGAGCAGTATAGATGATGGGACTGAAGAAGAAGATAGGTCACTGACTGAGGAGGAAACCCTGATCGCATCCTGGTTCTGGAAAGCGGATGAAGCCATTATAAGTTCTACAGATGGAGAAGAATCCAGGCTAGAAGCTGAGGAAGAGGATATTATTGCTTCTTGGTTCTGGGCTGGGGAAGAGAACGGGGTCAAGACAGCAGCTGAGGCTAGAGAAGACAGGCTAGCTGCTGAGGAGGAAGCTATTGTCGGGTCCTGGTTCTGGGCAGGAGATGAGGCCCATTTTGAACCAAATCCTAGCCCTGTGTTCCGGGCCATTTGCAAGTCCAGGTATTCAGTTGAGCAGGAGCCTGATGCTTCACGCAGGCCCCAAAGCTGGGAGGAGGTCACTATTAAGTTCAAGCCTGGTCCATGGGGTAGAGTTGGCTTCCCATCCCCAAACCCTTTTAGATTTTCAAAAGAAGCAGCATCTCTGTTCTCTGAAATGTTTTGGGGAAAGCCCAAGGATTTGGAACCTACCCCAGAAGGGGAGGAACGGGAATCTTTGCTTCCACCTGATCAGCCTGACCCTGAGTTCCCCTTTCAGTATGATCCATCCTACCGGTCAGTCACAGAAATTCGAGAGCATCTTAGGGCCAAGGAGAGTGCAGAGACTGCCGATTGGTCCTGCAGCTGCATACAGTGTGAGCTTAAAATTGATTCTGCAGAGTTTGAAGAACTCCTTGTATTAATGGACAAAATTCGCGATCCTTTTGTTCATGAAATATCTAAAATTGCAATGGGTATGAGAAGTGCTTCTCAATTTACCCGAGATTTTATTCGCGATTCAGGTGTTGTCTCACTTATTGAAACCTTGCTCAGTTATCCCTCCTCCAGAGATAGGACAAGTTTTTTGGAAAATATGATTCACATGGCTCCACCTTATCCCAACCTAAACATGATTCAGACATACGTATGTCAAGTGTGTGAAGAAACCTTTACTTATAGTTTAGATTCCCCTGAACAGCTGTCTGGAATAAAGATGGTTAGACACCTCACTACAACTATTGACTATCATGCATTGGTTGTCAAGTATATGTCTGGGTTTCTCTCCTTATTAGCCATGGGCAATACCGAAACAAGGTTTCATGTTCTGAAAGTGCTACTGAATTTGTCTGAAAATCCTGCCATGATGAAAGAACTACTCAGTGTTGACGTAATATCAGAATTCATGGACCTTTTTAACAGGAAAGAGACAAATGACAATATTCAAGTTGTTCTAGAAATGTTTGAGAATATTGGTAACAGTATCAAAAAAGAAGCAGTGTTGTCCACTGATGATGATTGCAGTCTTGAGTCACTTATTACTGCTTTCCATGAAGTTGAGGAATTTGCTAAGAAACTACAAGTCAAAATACATAATCAAAATGACCCTGAGGCACACCAAGAAAATTAGCATGCCTCTCATTGTCCTTCTGTTCTGTGTTGTGATCTTTGAATAATGTTTGATTTCCATATTTGGTTCTATGTTGCCACATACATCTTTAATCCTGATACTAACCTTGACCAACTTGGTATATGACCTGAATCATTCTTCTGATGCCAAATGAATATTAAAATTGAAAACACATCTGTTAATATATTTGTCTTTTGTCCAGATTGTGATATTTAGCATTTACGCTTATAGAGAACTGAGCCACCTTATAAGTAAGGTACCTTTCTGATTGCTGTTCTAGTGCATTGATGTGTCTTTGAGTCTTACTTGTTTTGCCAATAAAATTCTATGTTAAAGTTGGCAGAAATTATCCTTCTTGAACTTAAAAACTGTTGGTGCAAAGATAATACATGCCGCACAAATTGAATACATGTATGAATACTGTACTCCCTCAAAAAGCTTGTTCTCATAGCTTTAAATGCAAAAGTTACCATGGGTTGCTACTTAGGGGACGTTTGAGAGAAAAAGAAATTAATTTGGACTCTGAAACGTAGGAAAGAGTGGATGGTGTGTTGTGGCATTGGGAAGAGTGTTTCTATAGAAGTTCGGTATCTAGTCCACTTGGAGTGGCTGAGGGGAGTGTATTGAATAGAGAGAGTAAGGTAAGTTTTAAAGAGCTGACAAGTTGCACTTTGCAACTCAAAGTCTGGGTGTTTCTTCTATGTGACCTACAGGTTAAAATAAGACAGGGAGGCACAGAAATTTAACTGAGTCAGGGGGATGATTTCTTCATAGTGGTACCAATGGGAAGTGTAAAGGTAATATACAGCCACTGAATGATAATGTATAGATTTTAAAATTGACTTAAAAGAGGCCCGATGGGCCTCCCTGGTTGCGCAAGGGGTAAAGACACAACCTGTGAAGCTACCTGCAGCCACTGCAGGACAAGTTCAATCCCCGACCAGGGAGTTACCCACATGGCGCAGCAGACCTCTCCTGCTTTGCCCGCTGCTCCCCTCAGCAGTATAGTTCAGTCAATCTGCCTGTTCTGTTCCCCACTCTGTCTCTGGGGAATCATCTCCCCCCTCCCCACACACACACACCTCTGGCCTGGACCCCAGTTCTTGTATGCACAAATAAATCTAAAAAAAAAAAAAACCCTGATACTTTCTATATTTGATGAAATAAGACTGTTATCATACATAGAAAATATAATTCCGTTTTTAAAATAGATGTGTCCATGGACCAAATTTACTCAGATTTATGTTATTTGAATATGGAATTTTCTGCACTGGTAAAACATTTTAAAGCAATAAAGAACTATGAGTGACTACAACTTCAGAAAGACTGACTTGCCAAATAAAAGTACCTAATTAAAGGGAATAAACTAAAATTTCCAAAGTTCATGAGTTCATTCCACATTTTTTTTGTTGGCATTTATAAATTTTATAACATTCAGACAGGATAAAATTTCAGGGATAAAGTTTGGGGTGCGGAGGCCGGAATCCAGTATAAAGGGAAAAATGCAAGGTTTCATTATCAGAGCAGACAGGTGACCTTGTTAAAGTGACAGTTTCGTCTCCCGTCACAAAGCGCACATATTAGATCATCCCGATGCTGGGAAGTGGCTTTTGAACATATGATTTGCTTATCAATATTTTCCAAGACCCGCTATGTGTTTTCATATTTGAAATATTATATTTAACATTTAAACAGTAAATATCAATGTATATAATTTATAATATACATTACGGGCTATATAAGTGTATGGCTTGTTGTATATAAATTTATAATTTACATTTGCCATACGAACCAACTACGTAGAATATTAAAACTACTATATATCACTATATAGAACAGAGCAGCGGGAGGCCGCGGGCTGCGGGTGCTGCGGCGGGGCGGCCGCGGGGTCACGTGGCCCTACGGCGGGTCACGTGACCCGCCGCTCGGGGCGGGCGCCGAGGTGTGTGGCCCCGCGCACGGACGGGCGGCGCCGGCACCTGGCGACCGGCCGGCTGCCCGGAGAGGAGCGGGGGGGAGTTTGGGCGCGGGGGTGCGCGGGGAGGCGAGGGGGGAGCGCCTGTCCCTGCCGCCCGCCCCACAGTGCTCCTCTGCGGCGGCCAGAATTGCGGCGTTTGTTGCCGGAGGAGCCGTCCCTCGGCCAGCGGCGAGCTTGGCGCGGCTCTGTTGGGTCCCGGAGCTCGAGGGGCAGGGAGTCCGCCTGCGGGAGCACCGCGGAGAGAAGCGGCGGCGGCTGTTGCAGGAGGTGGGTGCGAGGCCGGGAAGCGGTGTCCCGGGGCGGTGGTAGCCGAGACTCCATCCTGGGGCAGGAAATGCCTGGAAGCCGCCCGCTCGTCCCGGTTTCCTCGCGCTCCCTCCTTCCTTCTGAACGACCCTTCCCCCACCCCAGACTCTCCTCCCGGCGCCGCAGGACTCGGCGCTGCTTTTGGGGCGGGGGGGATGGGGGCGGAGTGAGGTAGGGGACGTGGACGAAGGAGTGGGGATTGCTGCCCAGGGATGCAAGCGAGGCCTGAACCCCGATCTGGCCAGCCTTAGGGAAGGGGGTGGGACCAGTGGATTTCTCACTGGCATAGCGCCAAGTTTCTTAACCTCCGGGAAGATGCCTGGATCTCCATCCAGGGAGGATCAGCCCTCCTTGTGAGTTTCTCAAAGGGCCTAGGTCCCATTGTTCTGCGACAGCTCCCTCCCTTCAAGGGACCTGAGAATCTGCTCCTTGTGAGGCTCCCTCCAGCTTCATTCCTGGGCTTCAGAAGAGGGTGTGTTTGAAAACCACTGGCATAAACTACTTTATGGATGGTCTCATACATTACCTTTTTTGGATCCCTTCTATCTCTTCCCTGATTTTGTTTTCTGATCAGTACTTTTAGACTTGGAAATTGCACTCATCCTTGTTGACTCCATTATTTCTGCTGATTACTTTTGGTCATTCTATGAGACAGACTCAAGATACCAACACCCTTTTGTGAGAATATGAGAATAAATTTTTATAATCATTAGCCTCAATTTATTTGTACTTATTATGGATCTGAAGCCAATTAGTGTGTAGAGATTTTCTCATTTTTTCTAACTGCATAGTATTCCATTGAGTCACTACCATAATTTTTTAGTTACTCTCTGCATATGGATATTAGTTTCTAATATTTTAGTGTTTCAACAATGTTGGAATGAAAACCTTATGCATGTGTATTTTATGATTAGAGATGTATCTTCACAATGGATTCCTGGAAGTAGGGTTGGTGGGTCAAATGATTAAGTGTTTGCATAGTTTTATTAGGTAGTCTCAAATATTCAACCAAAGAGAGATTAAAATTTTTCATTCCACCAGAAGTTCATGAGAGTTTGTATTTCTCAGTCGTATTGACCAATTTTTTATCCTTCTGGTATTTGTAGAATTTGTAGTGATGTTACATCTCATTCCTGATCTTAGTAATTGTGTCTTGTCTTTTTTTAAATCATTCTAGCTAGAGACTTACCAATATTACTGACTTTCACAACAAACTAGCTTTTAGTTTTATTGATTTTCTTTATTTTTGTTTTTGATTTCATTGATTTCTACCCTTATATTAGTATCTTCCTTGTTTACTTTGTTACCCTTCTATTTTTACCTACTCAAAATAGAAATTGAATTCATTGATTGAAGATCCTGGTTGCTTTGATCCAAGCGTTATTTAGAAGTATGCTATGTAGTTGCCAAGTATTTGGAGGCTTTTCCACATATGTTTCATTATTAATTTCTAATTTAATTCCATTGCAGTCAGATAACATATTTTGTATGATTTGATTTTTTTAATTCAATGAGACTTATTTTATGGGCCAGAATATGGTCAGTCTTCACACATGTTCCATGTGCACTTGAGGAGAGTTGTCTATTCTTCTGTTGTGTGAACTATTCTATTAACATAAATTTAGGTCTAATTGTTGCATAATGTTGTTTAAATTTTCTACCATAGGTCTTCATTTATTTTGTCTGTTATTGAAAGACAGGTGCTTAAATCTGACTGTTATTGTGGATATGCACATCTTCTTGAGGCTCTATCATAGTATTTTGGGTGTTATTATTTTATAATATACTGGTGGATTCAACTTGCCCTTTCTTTCTCATTTATGTTCCTAAGACTGGCATACGCATACACACACACACACACACACACACACACACACACACACGCTAGTATGTATATATATGTATATACATATAGGTATATATTTGCTGTAGTTTTTCAGTTTCAATGTTATATTAAGTTCATTAAATGAGTTTGGTTAACTTTTGTCCTTCTAGTCTCAGGAAGAGTCTATATAACAGATTATGTATGTTTTGTAGTTGTGTCTAAAGAACTTTGGGACTTATCTCAAACATTTCTTACCTGGTGGTTTTTTGGGCAACATACACATTATATAACCTCTTACAGATTTAAAAAAAAGGCTGCTTTGCAGAATCATAATCTGCACCATAATTTATTCACCACAGCTCCTTGCACTTAGAAGGGTCAGCTTTCTCATTCATTTGTCACTTCCTTCAGTCATCCCCAGTTTTTTATATCTCTGTCAAAGGGCTGTTCTTTTTTCAAAGATTTACTTATTTATGCCAGAGGTGTGGGGAGTGAGAGGATTCACCAGAGACAGGGTGGAGAGCAGAACAGGTGGATTGACTGAAATACACTGCTGAGGGGAGCAGTGGGCCAGACAGGAGTGGTCTGCTGTGCAATGTGTGCTGCAGGGGCTGTGGGTTGCATCATAGTGCTGACACTTAACCCCTTGCACCACCAGGGAGGCCCCTTTTTCCAAAGATTTTCTAGAAGCCACCTACCAGCTTCTTGGTGACATTCCTGATCCCTTTCACCAACTCCATGAACTCTCACTTTTTGAGCCCATCCCTAACCAATTGACTTAATATCTTCCCTCCACTTGTTTACTTGCCTTTTGTTTTGATTGTTTCCTTTGCTGTGCAGAAACTTTTTAGTTTGGAGTAGTCCCACTAATGTTTATTTTTAGTTTTGTTGGTTGTGCTTTTGATGTCATATCAAAGATTTGCTGCCAAAACCAATGTCAAGGAACTTTTCCCCTATGTTTTCTTCTAAGAATCTTAAAGTTTCAGGTGTGACATTAAATCTTTAATCCATTTCGAGTTAATTTTGGGGGGTGATGGAAGATAGGGGTCCAATTTCAATCTTTTGCATATGAATACCCAGTTTTCCAGCACCATTTATTGTGGAGACTGACTTTTCCCAATTGAGCATTCATGGCTCTCTGATCAAATATTAGTTCATCAGGATGTGTGCAATCCTTTCTGGGCTCTTGATTCTGTCCCATTGCTGTTTGTTTTTGTGATAAATTCTTCTTGCCTAATTTCTTTGGCTAAGACTTTTATACTGTGATTGATAGGAATACTGAGAATGGGCAATCTTATTTTGATCCTGATCTTGGAGGAAAAGATTTCAGTTTTTTACCTTTCTGTATAATGTCAGCTATGGATTTCTCATATATCACCTTTATTATGTTGATATACATTCTTTATAGACCCAGTTTGTTGAGAATTTATCATGCAATGATGTGAATTCTGTCAAATGATTTTTTGGCATCCATGTGAACATCATATGATTTTCATCCTACATTCTGTCAATGGGATGCATCTCATTTAATTGATTTGTATATGGTGAACCATATTTGCATCTCAAGGGTAAATCCCACTTGATAATATTTAATGTTTTCGTGATTTTGGCTTCCTAGATGATATCTCATTCTAGTTTTGATATGCATTCCTCCTGTAATAAGTGATGTTATTTTTTCATATGCCTATAAGCCATCTGAATGTCCTGTTTAGAAAGGTGTTTTTTTAGGTCTTTTGCCCATTTTATGATTAGATTCTTTTTTTTTATTATTGTTGAACTGTATGAATTGGTTGGTTACCTTTTTGTTTTTGTGATTTTTTTTTTTTTGAGATACAAAAACCTTTTTACTTTGATGTAGTCCCAGTTGTTTATTTTTGCTCCTGTTTCCCTTGCAATTGGACTTGTGTTCCCAAATATATCTTTGCTATGTGTGCCCAGGAATGTATCACCTATGTTTTCTTTTAAGTCTTGTATGCTCTTATATCAGAACCTGTAAATCCATTTAGAATTGATTTTTCTATGTGGTGTTAATTACCTAGTTTCATTTTTTTTTTTTTTTTTGCATGTGGTTGTCCAAATTTCCCAGCGTCATTTGTTAAAGAGGTTTTCCTTTCTCCATTGTATGGTCTTGGCTCCTTTGTCAAAGATTAACAGTCCATATTTGCGTGGGTTTATTTCTGGGATCTCTATTCTAGTCCATTGTTCTGTTTCTGTTTCTGTTCCAGTGCCATATTATTTTCATCACTTTTGCTGTATAATGTAGTTTGAATTCAGGGGGTGTGATACCTCCATTTTTCTTTATTTCTCACAGTAATGCTTTGGCTAATCTCAGGGACTTTTTATGGTTCCATACAAATTATTTTTTTTTTGTAGTTCAATGTTTAATTTTTTTTAGAAACTACTATACTGTTTTCACAGAGACTATAGCATTTTGCATTCCCACAAGTAATGAATAAGGTTTCCAGTTACCTCACATCCTTACCAACAGTTATTTTCTGTATGTGTGTTTTTTAAGGTTACATTTATTTTTATCTTGAAAGAGTTAAAACTTTTTTTTCCTGCCCTTATCCCTTGTATATCCCCTCTTCCTTTCCCTCCTCCCTCTCTTAATCTCCAAGCCTTCAGAATGTTTATGGATATCCACTGGTTTTTGAAAATATTTTACATTATCAAATTGTCGACTACTAAATATCTAGTGTTTGTTTTATCATTTTGAATTACTTTGCTACACATAATTCTCTAAAATTCCCTCCATTTTGTTGAAAATGGCTGTATTTCATCCTTTATTATTCTATGGTGTGTATGTACCACATCTTCTCAATCTCTTCATCTGTTGAAGGAGATTTTGGTTGTTTCCATGCCCCAACTATTTTAAACAATGCTGCTGTGAATATTGTGGAATATATGGAGATTTTTGTTAATGGTTTCATGTTCTGTGGATGTATGCCAAAAAGTAGGATTGCCAGGTCATACAGTATTTCCATTTAAAAAGTTTAAGATAAGTCCAAATTGCTTTCCATAGTGATTTAACCAGTTCATATTCCTAACAACATTAGGGTTCCTTTTTCCCTGCATCCTTTTCAGCACTTTTTGTTGTGGGTCTTTTTTTTTTTTAGTATTTATTTATTTATACAAG